GGGTTTAGGGTTTAGGGTGCTAAAGGACTTGAAATGGACTTTGGAGGTGTTGAAAAAGGCCGCCTGATTTGGAGTGCAAGGGGTTGTTGTTCGATGGTTTCTGGTGGTTCTAGAATTGGTGCTCTTTGGCAAAGCCTCAGGGCTTTAAAGTTTTTTAGGGGCTTTTGAGGGCTGGGGCTTTCAGAGTCGGATGCTGGGGTGCAGGGTCTTCAGGGCGTGCTCCGAGCTTTGGCTTTCGGGGATCTGGGGCTTGAGGGACTCTCTTAGTGGTGTTGGGATTCGGATGGCAGTGTCTTTAAAGAAACTTGAAGTGTTCCGGGTATAAGAATTTAGGGTTTGGGATTACCCCGGTAATTGTTCAGGGTGTAGAGTTTAGGGATGCTTCTTTCCATCCGACAGCTCCAGCGGTAAAGGGTTTAGGGTTTAGGGCATGCTTGAATGCTCTGAGATTCACAGGTTTCGGGTTGGAATCTCGGATTCTGAGATTAAGGGGCCTGATGTCTCAAAAGGAGGGGCCTGGGTTGGTTTTAAGTTTAGGGCTTTCACCCTAAACCTAAACCCTGAACCCTGAACCTAAGCCGTTTAGGGGCGTTTGGGGCAAAGTGTTGGCTTCGAGCCTTCTACCGTCGAGGGTTCGGCACCGCAGGCGAGATGAAAGGTATAATGTAGGGGCCTTCATGATATAAACGATTTTGGGGTTCATTATTAATTGTATTTCTAGTAGAATCCCCACGGCCTGTGCTTGTTTTTGAGGCCCCTATATTGATAGGGATACAGAGGACCTTCTTAGAGTTAGCATGATGCGTCGTGGTTATTCCTTCCTGGGTGGGGGCCTTGCCTAAGCTTACACCTTTAACTATGGCGAGCACATAAGAAGGTTGGGTTCTAGGGGCGCAGCATGCTGTTTAGAAGACCCCCGGCTTCTGAAAGGGGAGCTTGCAGCAACGAGCCTAAACACAGAAGGATGTAACCAGGGGTTACCAAGGGTCTCCGGCTTAGGATTTCCGCCTTTTGTTGTGTTTGGGTCCATGACTTGAGGAATCTTTCCCTTGCTTAGGGTTTAGGGTTTAGGGATTAGGTTTTAGGGCGCTCTGGACAATGCCCAAACCATAGAATCGAGACCCCCTGAAAAGGAGTGCCAAGACACTTGGTTCCCAGGGCCGCGGTGGAGTCCGCGACATGGCCGATGGTGACTGAATTGTCTGAGTGATCGTGGATGGCCACCTGGAGTTCGGAGTTCGGGCTTCTTCGTACTTCTCCAAAAGCCCCTAAACTCTAAGGGTTTGGGGTTTAGGGGCTTCGGGTTTAGGGTCTTAATCCCTCATTCGGGAATCCCTAAGTCCTAAACCCTAAACTCTAAACCCCAATCCAAACCTCGGATGTATGATGTACATAGGAAAATATCCACCATCGGAGTCCCGGAGTAAATCTGCTACGCAAGGATCAACCGAAACTGCCATCTACTAAGCCGCCGCAGAGTCCTACATTAGGGTTTGGAGTTTAGGTTTTTTCGGGGGGTTTGGGGTTGAGGGGTTGAGGGTTTAGGGTTGTACATCACGCCAACACCAGGGAAAGTCCTACTCGCTAGAGTGGCGGTTAACAAACCCTAAATCCGAAACCCTAAACCCTAAACTCTAAGTCACAGCCCCTGGACCCGGAGCTCCATCCTAGCTCTAGATGCTGAAGCGTCTCTCAACTTCTACGCCAACTTGACCTAAACCCAGAAAACCCTAACCTAAGAGCCCCCAAGCAGGGCCTAGAGTACCCAAGATTTGTTGAATAGAGGAACGTACCTTGCACCATCTCCGGAAAAATCGGAGGATCAGGGGACGGAGCATGGCGGGTAAGAGGTAGAGTTCTGAATCAGATACCCCTAATTAGTTGTCGTAACCCTACTGAGAGCTGACTGAACAAAGCCGCCTGCATACCCTCAGAGCCCCCAAAACCCAACATTCAAGAATCTACCTGGGTTTAGGGTTTAGGGTTTAGGGCGTTTCGGGGTTTAGGGTTTAGGCTGGGGCTCAAAGCCCCCATATTTGAGCGCATACTCCTTAATTGAGGGGCATTAGGCTCTCTGGGTACAGGTTCTGGAAAAATGGGAATCCCAGGTATTCCAGGACGAGAGGCCGTCGCGGTGGTTCCCGACATTTGGGCCTGCAGCGTCTTCATCTTGTCTGACTGCGTAATGAAATTCTGCGTCTTCTTGAACCTCAGCTGCACGGGCCGCAACTCGAAGTCTTACACCTTCAACCCTAAGCCTAAATATCTAAGCCCTAAACCCTAAACCCTGGCCCTAACCCCAAATGCCCCAGCCCTACACCCTGAACCTTAATCCCCAACGCTCTGAAGCCTAAGCCCGAAACCCTAAAAGACACCGTGCTCTAAACCCTAAACCCTAAAGCCCTAAACCCTAAACCCTAAACTTCGGGCTTCTGGGGCGAAGAAAGGCCGAAGCTTCAAGACAGGTTCGGCCTCAAGGCGAGCTTCGAGTTCAGGGAATTGTACTGGTTTAGGGTTTATAGGGTTTAGGGTTTAGGGCTTCAGGGGTTAGGGTTTAGGGCTTGAGGTTTAGGGCTTAGGGTTTAGGGCCTTTTCCTGCTTCCTCGAGTCGGAATACCTGGTCGGTAGAGCCTGACATGAGGACTGGGGGCTCTGTCAGAAAATTCAGTGAATTTAGGGTTCATGGTTCAGGGTCAGCGTTTAGGGCTCACGGATTCGGGTTTCGGGTGTCGGGTTTGGAGCTTTGGGTTTCGCGTTTAGTCCTTACTAGAAGGGTTTACGGACTTGGTAAGGCTGTTGTGAGACAGTTGTTAGCACCCTTAGCATGCAACTGCACATGTGATCCGAGATGTTGAAAGTGTACTGCCGAGGTGCGCATCGCTCAGGATGGGTCCCCAGTCCCGCTTCTCCGTCGAATACACTCGCTCATCCTGCGGCGGTTCTAGAAAAGGAAGGTCTGAGCATAGTCCCTCAAGGGTTTAGGACTTAGAGTTCAAAAAGTAGGTGAATAGTTCTTCAAGGTTCCTATAAGGGTTCTGTACAGGATCTATAAACGCTTATACAGCTTTGCAAAGGCCTTATAGAATTCAATAAGGGCGTTACAAGCTTTTTCAACGGTTGTATACGGGTGCTTCTGAAACTTTCTTAGAAGCCCTTCAAAATAGGGACCCAAAGTAATTTCGGGTCTGCTTTGGGATCCTCCCTTTGCCCAAAACTCCCACCTTGATGAGGCACTTCGGCAACATGTCCATCGCGAAGTTTGAGACATCATGCCCCTTCTGTCCATGACCATCAAAAACGCCGTAGAGCGAGAAATTCTCCTGGGCGGCGAAAAGGGAGTTATGCTTTCGGCGTTGCCCTGATGGTGGTAAGCTGACATCTCCAGCCCGGGCCCGGATCGGGCGGAATGAGGAGAAGTCGATGCAACACGAAAAGACCTGGAATAGGCTGCGTTCTTCTATAGTAAATAATAAGGTTTCCGTATAATGGTAACTTGAATCAAATCCCCTAACAAGAATCCAGCAAGATGTGAGCAGTTACGAAAGACATGAAGCGCTCTGTCATAGGAACGACAAAGACGCAAGACTGCCGGTGCAAGAGCAACAAGCACAAAAAGGGGTTTTCCAAGTTCCAAATCCAAAAGTCCTCTACACCGGGCCCAGTTCAACAAAGCCTTCAACCAGGATGCACATTCCGAAGCCAAAACCCCGAAGCCTGAAACCCCCACAACCCTCACAAAAGCCAAGGCCCTGGCGCAACATCCCTTAACTGAGGAATATACCTTCAATCATAATATATTAAGGCCTCTATAATTTAAGGCATATTCCTTCATTAAGGCATTAAGGGGTGTTGGGTTCTCTGGGCCCCTCCCTAAACCCTAAGCCCTAAACCCTTCTGAAACCTGCACAGTCCTCCCAGACCCCCCAAAAAAAAAGAAAGAACTCTCCGAGCGTCCATCCTGAGCCTATGAACCCTTAGGGTTTAGGGTTTAGGATTTAGAGTTTGAATCTTCGAACCACACATCTGAAACCGCAGACGGCTTTAAAAGACCCACGGTTTCGGGTTCAGGGCTCAGGCCTTTTGGCATTTGGGCTTCGGCTTTGGACCTTTATGACTTTATGAACAATCCCAACTCAGGGTTTAGGGTTTAGGGCTCCGAGCTCATCGCGAGCTCTAAACCATAGGGCTCTCAAGTTTTGTAGCACCCCTGACCCCTTGCGTAGAGTGACTGTACCCCGTGTAGAAACTCCGAGCATAAAACGATCTGGAGCACAAGAGACCTAGGCCATTTCAAAAAATGACAGGGCTTCGGATTCAGGACCTGAGGGCCCCAAGCTCTGAACAACTCTAAAGTACAGCCTAAACCCCAAACGTTAAACCCCAAGAAAAACCAAAGAGCTCTAAACCCCAACCACAACAAGCGACCTCCAAACCCTAAACTCTAAACCTTAAAGAAAATAACCAACTCCAGACCCTGAGCACAATACAAAGGATCTCCGAGCCTCTAAACCCAAAAATCTAAACAAACAACTGGGTTCTGGCTGAGGGATTTAGTTTAATTTACCATAGCAGCAGGGGTCTACAGTAAACAACATGGTGTCCTTATTATGGTAGTTTAACTTAAGTCCCTTAACGAGAACCCAGACAACTCTAAACCCGAACCACAGTAAAAACGATCTCCGAGCGTCCATCTTGAGCACAAACCAGGAATCCTGGTTGGGACTCTCCGGCTTCAACCCCTTGCGGCACGTGTAGCCGATTCCTGGGCCGGGGCGTTCGGGCTCCTGTTTGTTAAATGGGGTTTAGGGCTTAGGGTTTTTGTTTAGGGTTTAGGGCTTAGGGTTTTTTTTAGGGTTTAGGGTTTAGGGTTTAGGGTTTAGGGTGTTTATGGGGCTCTGGGTTTAGAGGGTTTTGGGATTTGGGCCTTTTCTCTTTTTGAAGTGTAGGGCGCTTTAGCTGCTGTAACGACCTGCCCGTGTTGGGCTTAGACCCAAAGACACCGTGGGTTTAGGGGTCTAGGGTTTAGGGTTTAGGGTTGAGGGCTTGCGATTGAAGGTTTTAAGTGTTCATGCGGGCTGCTTGAAAGTTGGAGGCTGACTGTGAAGGATGCGGGGGGCTTAGGCAATGTACCAGGTTCGAAGCACATTTCGTAGAACCCTTTCAAGGTTTCCTGAGAGCGTCGAGGGATTCGAGGATTCTGGGCTTTCGGGCTGAGGCTTCCAGGTCGATGGTGCAGGGCTTGGGAAACTCAGGGCCAGGATGTGGGGTGTAGGCCCTGAACCCTAAATCCTACACCCGAAACCCTACACCCTAAGCCCTCAAGCCTAAACCCTACGCCCTAAACCCTAAACCCGAAACCGAACCCTAACACCGGACCCTACACTGTAGGGTTTAGGCTTCAGGTCTGCAGATTTAAGAGATGAAGGGGTTCAGGAGGCCTTCCCAAGGGAGGATTCTGAGTTGAGGGTCACCGATTCCTCAGTTGCAGGGTCTGCTTGAATACCGGGTTTAGGGTTTAGGGCTTAAGGGGTTTAGGGTTTAAGGGGTTTTGGGTTTAGGGTTAAGGGCTTTAAGGCTTTAGGGGTTTAGGGTTTAGGGCTTAAGGGTTTAGGGTTTACGGCTTTAGGGGTTAGGGTTTCGGTTTGGGGTTTAGGGCTTAGGGGTGGAGGGTTGAAATTGAGGGTTCAGGGCTCAGGGTGTCGTAAGGACTCCGAAAGCCCACGACGAAGGACTCATTCAACAGGGTCGTTTAGGGTTTAGGGCTTAGGGTTTAGGTTTTAGGGTTTAGGGGCGGCTTTGTGCCGGAACTTTCGGAGGTGAGGAAAAGGAAGACAAACAAGGCTTCCGAACGCAAAGAGGGATTCCGCACTGCGCGATGTCCACATCGGTGTCTCCGAACTTCTGCCTGGCGCAAGTTTTACACAGGGGCCTTGAAAATTAGATCAGGGTTGTGGTGTATATCGCAGTCTAGTGACAACGGGACTAGAAAGGGAATGGTATCACCAATTCTTTCGACCTGAGTATTGGGCTATTGGGCTTCTGGACTTTCGGGGTGAACCTTTTTTGCTTCAGATTTCCCAGTTATTGGGTAGAATTCGGCTTCTGCGTTTAGCTTTGTGACTTGAGCATGAAGCTTCACCACAAGGGCTGACGCACAGGAAGCTCGTCAAGAAGGACGCTAGGTGTGATGAGGAGGCAAGGGTAAGAAGCAGGCCTTGTTCATTGCTCTGAAGACGGACGGATGAGGAGGATACACAATGCTGCCTATGCTTGCGCCAGGTTATTAGCAAGAACTTTCCAAAGTCGCAACCACAAGCACAGCAGCTCCTCTTCCGGCAACGACGAGGTTTAGGGTGCAGGGTTCGAGTATGTGTATACCCCACACCCAGATCACACCTCCATCCTGTGCGCAACGAGGCCCTGAGAGAAAGGGTCGAAGGCATTCACGACTCAGGATTTGGGAGTTTGGGTTTAGGGTTTAGGGTCGAACTGGGAGTTGGGGTTTAGGGTCGGGCTCCTTCAAGGTTTGGGAGTTGAGGTTAAGGGTCTTGGGCCTAGCCCAGCACCCACAAGGCATCCCAAAACGCGCGGCAGGTCCACATGGTCTTGTTGGCGAAGGAGGTTGTTCCCTTGTCCGTTTTCGAGCCTAGGCTCGCGCGGATTTTCAAGGGACTCTACATACTGCCGCAGTTTCACAGATACAAGAATGGACTAGTCTATTCTCCTTGTAAGCAATAAACAGATCAAAACCGGAACCTAAACCCTAAACCCTAAACTTAGGATCATGATGACTGGAATGCAGCGCAATCGAGTCAAGCTTACTCCTCTAGCGCGAAGCTCTGAGCCTCTTAGAGGCTTGCGGCTAGCAGCTGGCCAGGCCTGCCTCCTAACAACCGGTAGGGTTGTTAGGATTAAGGGTTTAGGTTTTAGAGTTTAGGTTTTAGGGTTTAGGGTTTAGGGTGTAGGGTTTAGGGTTTAGGGCTTTTAGGGTTTAGGGTTTAGGGTTCAGGGTTTAGGGTCTTGTAACTCGTAACTAGAAGCACGCTTGCTACTGAGCAACTGTTGAAGCAGGTATCTTGGCTATGAGGCCTCTGTAGTTCGGAAATAACTTAACAAGCCGCTAAAAACCCGTAGGAGCCCTATGAAGCCAGAGAAAGCTAAGCACCTACTAAACACCCTGCAAAATCCTAGACTGAACACCTTGCAAATAGTTCTAAAGCTCTACAATAGTCGACTAGGGAGAGCCGTAAGCCTGACCCCGAAACCCAACCCTAGCAGAACACCTTCGAAGTTCAGGAGAATACCCTTCAAATACGGAATATACCTATACCTCAAATTATAGGGGCCTTCATATTATGGATTTAAGGTCTATTCCTTAATTTAAGGGACATTGGGTTCTCTGGGTTTATGGGGCCCTACCTACCGTTACGCAGGAACTTCGAAAGCCCAGGCGGCTGAGGGAAACCCGCCGTCCGCTTTTCGCCTTGGGAGTTTGGTCGGTCTCGGACACCATCTCGATGAGGGTGTTCTTGCCTGCTTTGGGATTCAGGGTTAAGGGTTTAGGTTTAGGGTTTAGGGTTTAGGGTTTTACATTGTAGAGTTTAGTACTTCGGAATTAGGGTGCAGGGATGAGGTTGCCCTGTCTTGGGGTTCAAGTCTGGGGCAAAGCTGTATTTAGGGCTCAAGGTTTAGGGTTTAGGGATTTAGGTTGTTTTTACTCGTTTTGGTATGTTTAGGGATGAGTCTTGCCTTGTTTGTGCGGGGGTGTTTTGGTTTCAGGGTTTCGGGTTGGGGTTTCGGGATTCAGGTTGTTCTTGCCTTTGTAGCTATTTGGGGTTCAGGCTTTACGGTTGTTAGGCCCGTTTGAGCCCCAGAGAGGGCGCCAAAGCGCGCAAGACAGCCCGCATGGCCCTAGCAAAAAGGCCCGTTTGAGATTGTAGAGTCTAGTACTTCAGAGTTTTAGGGTTTAGGGATGAGGTTGTTCTTGCCTGTTTGGGGGGTGTTTTGGGGCAAAAGATGTGTTTAGGGCTTAGGGTTTAGGCTTCAGGGTTGAGTCTTGCCTTGTTTGTGGGGGGGGGGTGGTGTTTAGGGTTTAGGGTGTGGGGTCAGGTTGTCCCTAAACCCTAAACCCTAAACCCTACCCTTGTAGCTAGTTGGGGCCCGTTTTTAGAATTTTAGAGTTTAGCGCTTCCGAATCTCAGGATTTAGGGATGAGCTTCTTCTTGCTTTGGGGGTGCTCAGGGCTTCGAGATTTAGGTTGCTCTTGCCTTGGTGGGTGTTTAAGGCTTAGGGTTTAGGGCTTGGGGACTAAGGGTTGCCTGTTTTGGGCTTCGGGATTTAGGCTGTTCTTTTGGATCGAGGGTTTCGCGCTGCAGGCCAGAGTTTAATGATTCCGAATTTTAGGGTTTGGGGAGCTGGGTTCGGCTTGCCTTCGTAGCTTTAGGGTTTAGGGTTTAGAGGGTTAGGTTCTTCTTGCATTCGTAGGTTTAGGGTTTAGTGTCTAGAACTATGGAATCCTAGGGTTTTGGGATTGGGGCTGCTCTCTTGCCTTGCTGAGCCAGAAACAGTTCAAGCAATCTGAGGGTGTGGGCTTGACCCGGTCATTGTCGGAGAGCTGAACTTAAATTACCATCATAACCTACGCATATTTATCATTCACTATAGATCCCTATTATGGCAACTGAGACTGAGTTCCTTACCAAGAGCCCTGTATGGTTATTCCAAGGGTTTGGGGCGTTCTTGCCCTGCGGTCACAAAGCTGTCTTCACAAACTTAGGGTTGTGTGGTTTGTGTCTATGGGGGGGTTACTGTTTGTGACAGTGATAGTCAATGTCGTGTATCTCCGTGAGGTTGTTCTGCCCGCAGGGTGTGGAATTGAGCCGCTTAGTGCATCTGGGCGGATGCATTCCATCATCTGAGGATTGGGATTTTGGGGATGCGCTGTGGCGCTTGGGAGCTTCCTGCTTAAGCTTTAAGCTTTATTCAGGGGCTCCCTTGGGTTTCTGCGACGAATCGGCACGAGGGTTTCTTGGTTACGACTTGAGGTTGCAGTTGCGAACTTGTGCTTGCTTTGGCAGAACACCCTGTTACAAGCCCCTATAACAACCACCGATGAAGCCCTTTCAAAACCGCCCCCCCTCCCCCACACCGAAGGATAAGCCCAAAGCTCTGGGACCCGAGGGGCTGAATGCGGCAATCAGGCCACGATCTTGCTCTGCCTGGGAGTCCTCCGGAGGGGCTGAGGATACCTCGTTGGGCTCCTTTAAGGACTCCTTTTACGAGGGGGGGGGGGTTCCTTTGGGGGCTCGGGTCACGGCGTTCCTTGAAAGGTTCCGCTTGAGGATTCTATAAGGCTTGGAAACCCGGTAAGGGTCCCTACACACGAGCCTTCAAAAGGGTTCCATGAGGGCTCTCTTGCTGTTCTGGTTCAATAAAGTTCTTGTACTATAGGGAACTCCTAAACCCTAAACCCTAAACCAGTACTATAGGGAATCTGTAGCAATGTCAAGGTTCCGTTTGTCGCTGTCACCCAACATGGGGGGCGCCTGGTTTGAGGGTTACGGATCAATGTCTGATCTTGCTCTAGATGAGGGGTTTCGGGTTTAGGAATTAGGGTTCCGGGTTTACGACTGACGGAGGCTCCCTCATTTAAGATGGTACCATCACAGTAGCTTTTGCAATCGGAGAGATACTGCATCACTTACTACCAGGTATTTTCTTGTTCCTATTGTTTTCTCACCACGACTGTAAGGCATCTCCTGTTGCATCCCAACTGCTACTGCCAGTGGCAGTGGCACTGCCAGTGGCAGTGGCAGTGGGAGAGGGAGTGGCAGTGGCACTTCTACTACTGCTACTGCTACTGCTGCTGCTACTGCTACTTCTACTGCTACTGCTACTTGCTACTGCTACTGGTCGAGGTCGCGGCCGTCGTCATAATCGCGACGCTGTAAAATAGTTATGGTCAGTCGCGGTAGTGGTTGTAATAGTGGTGGCAGTAGTAGCAGTAGCAGCAGCAGCAGCAGCAGCAGCAGCAGCAGCAGCAGCAGGAGTAGTAGTAATAGCAGGAAAAGAAGCTTTAGTGTGTGGCAGCAACGGTACTATTCACCATACAACGCCAAGCATGCTCCCACGCTCCTCATGACCCGGAAGCTCGCTCTCATCAACCTGGCCCACGCTCAATCGGCGACGAGGTTTTGGAACTGGGACTTCCGATGCGGTCGAAGATGCGCAACCTGAGGCGAGGCAGGGCATTTATCTGGGTGTAACCGTATCTTGAGATGTGCTCCTGACTATTGGTAGGGGTCGCAATGTCGTTGATCGGACTGTTACAGTGCTACCGTTCGGTGACTCCGGGGCAACTCAGAGAAGCGCGAAAGTCGCCGGAAAGGTCAACAGTGGAGCTGTCTGCAACTCTGTAGGGGTGCTGTTAAGGGACTTCAATCAAGTCACTACAATAAGGAAACCCTATCATTTACTATACATATCCACATTATGATAACTTATATTGAGTTCCTTATCAGCAACCCAGTCTATGGGCTTCTGTGGGACCTCAGATTCAGGAATGAGGTTTCGTGTTGGGGCGGAATAGTATGCCTGGTTCCCAGTAAGGCCTCTGCACAGTTCGCCAAAGCCTGAAATCCAGGCTTCGGGACTCAGTTTTGCTGGATACAGTGGACCGGCACGAGCGATGATGCCTAGAAGCCAAAGCACACAAGACTTCTACCACCAATTACCAGGCCCCCCCCCCCCCACACCCCTAAACCCTTAAACCCTCAACCCTAAACCGGTACTCCTTCTTCTAGCTATGACCTCATGATTCTGAAGTTGCACAGACTGCCGACATCTCCAACTCAGCCCTGAACCCTAAACCCTAAACCCAGGCCAGGCGACACCCCATGGCTCAAGTTTGCCGGAGCTACGAACAAGAGAACCGACTTAGAGGAGAGACGATTCTGCGGCGAGCAAGCGTGCACCGAGATCCTTGATTTAGGGCTCTGGGGTTCAGGGCTCAGGGCTTTTAAGGCGTTTTACGGCTTTTAGGGCTTGGGGTTTAGGGCTTTTCGGGCTTTGGGTTTAGGCTTTTAGGGCTTAGGGTTTAAGGCTTCGGGGTCACCCAAACTACCAGAAGCCTGGTTGGATATATCTCAAAACATAATATTAAGCCCCTGTAATTTTAGGTATATTCTTTGGTTAAGCTACTGGGCTCTCCCGGCCAACCTACCAGAAGCCTGGTTAGATGGAGATCGTGAAGGGACGCACAAGGTCCAATGGCAGGGGATACGCGATGGTACGCGAGACAAGACCATCCACAGCCCCTGTTGCTGTTGGAGGCACGATGAGAACAAAAGATATGATGGCGACCCTGACCATTTTCGGTCCACATCAAGGATGTTTCGTAGCGGCAGTGGTGGCGACATGTTGATGCTGATGATGGTGGTGATGATGACGATGATGATGCCCATGACCACGATAATGACGAATGTGGGCGCTGTGTCGATAACGATGACGCCGGTTCTGTACAGATAGCAGCATTAAAACGATAATGCAATACACTTCACGATAACACAACCCCACGGAGACAAGGCAGTGTGCATTTCGCCGGGTAACTCAGTTGAGCGCTTCCAGAATCAAGGCTGAATCTAGGTCAACTTGAGCTTTAGCCCTGTAGCGTTTCGGGATGTGCATTTTATGTTTAAAGCTTAGGCCTTAGGGCGTTTAAGACATATGGGCTGAGTGTTTAAGCCTAGGGCTTATGGTTTGTATATGGTCCTTCTAGAGGCTTGACAGGCTTTCATACGGCTGTCTTGAGGTTCAGGGATTTTAGCGGTGTAGGGATTCAGGGTTTCGGGTTTCTCACTTTTGTGTTTCTGTGACGGTTTCGGGTTTAGGGCCTGTTGTCGGCCCTACGAGCCCTGCGAAAGACCCACAGAGAGCACTCAACAACAGTCCGTTGAAGGTGTGGCAAAACCCGGCGCCTTGCTTTTCCATTGCCACCCCTCTGAGCTTCAACTATCCATCGAAAGAACAGAAAGACAGCGAGCAAGATCTACAGCTTGCCAGAGGGTGCGTCCTTGGGATAACCTCCCAACGGCACACGAAAAGCCGAAACCCCCACTTTTTGTGTGGAGTCTAAACCCTAAACCCTAAACCCTAAAAACTTGGAGTCGGAGTTCTTGGCCTCTGTACACTCAGAGCGGGCATAGAGCTAGGCCTCCTCCAGGTAGTACTGGGAGTAACGAAACCTGGGCTCTTCTTGAAAAGGGCTTAGGGGCTTAGGGGCTTAGGGCTTAGGGTTTAGGGTTTAGGGGCTTAGGGTTTAGGGTTTAGGGTTTTTTTTCAGAGTTTAGGGTTTAGGGTTTAGGGTTTTTTTTTCAGAGTTTAGGGTTTAGGGGCTTAGGGTTGAGGGGCCACACTGTGAGCCACCATCTTTGGGAACCCGATTGTTTGCTGTACACCCCTGTTCTAGTATCTCGAGATAAATCTCCCTGCGAAACTGTAAACCAACCGTACAAAATCAAACAAAACCCTATAAAGGCCCTATCGTGACAGATGGTTCCTCTGCAAGGACCCAGCAACGGCATCCATTGGTCGGCAGAGCATTTGGTCCAGTCACCGCCCTTCTGCTTCACCTCCTTGCACTCCTGATGTCTGCAAAGCAGTTTAAGGCTTAGGGTCTAGAGTTCAGGGCTTTGGAGTTTTGGGTTTTGGGTTTTAAGGGTGTCGGGTTTAGGCTACAGAGTTTCGCGTTTGCTGCTTAGGCTGCAGGCTGCCCAACAGTCCTCCAGAAAGGAATATCCAAGACATGATGGCCCGAATTCCGTAGCAAACCCAAACCTTGAGTCAAGGAAGGCTGAGCTCCGAAATCCTGAAGCAAGCCCGAAGACCACCCGCTCCACTTTGTAACAGACTCCCACATCCCCACTCGCACACCCTAAACCCTAAACCCTAAACCCCGAAGCCTCTGAGCCCGCGAGCCCAAACTCAAATGCCTTCCTCGTCTCTATGCTCAGCCAAACTGACTATTTCAGAAAGCATAAAATGCGGCACCCATGTTCGTATAAACGAGTACACGGCCACGAAGTTTGAAAAGTTTAGTGGCTTCCAAAACAGAAAAATGCGACCAAACCAGCAGGATCACGAGCCACTTGGCACCATTCACCTCCAAGCAAGATCCGCTTCATCACTAGATGGATTTCCGCGATTGAGGGGTTCTGGTCTTCTGCTTTTAGGCTTACAAAGACAAGTAAACCTCAAGATCCGAATCCAATATCCCAGAACTCCAACCCCTAAACGCTGAAAGCCACCCTCCTCGAGCCCCAAGCCTCTCGAACCTCAGGTCCTGCTTTGAAGCATAGCTTCTTATATCCAAAGCATCCAACGTGGACGCCTAAAAAATTACTAAGAGTATTCCACAGGGCACCATAATATCATTATACCGTAAATAAGCCATATCTTAACCCTAAACCCTAAACCCCTAAACCCTAAACCCTAACCCTAAGTATATCACGGCCCCAATCTTCGGATCTCTTCTAAAGCCTTGGCCTGGTCTGCAGAATCAGGACATTGGATTTAGCTCAGTTCCCCATAGAAGGCAAGCCACAAATTATGACTGTTGGAGATCCCTAAACCCTAAATCG